ACTAATTTCCTTTTTTCTATTTTAAAGGCTTAAAAACATGGAGTCAACTTCTATATGGTATGTTGTCTGAGAAAAACGATGCATAAGCTCAAGCCCTGTACTCAAGCCCAACAATCTTTCATGTAATTTTGCTTTAACGATTAAAACCAGCAGCAGGATACTTTCTTATTCAATTCAGTACAAAGACTATTGAAAATGCTTTACCTGAATTAAACAATAACATAGAAGAAACATAAAAGCAAAAATAAAAGTAAGTTTAAAAGGAAAAGTCACTGTTTACATCCTTAAGCTTTCTCGGGTCGATTCTTAAAGATAAAAACATGATAAAAGTAGGTAATAAAACAAATAAAACAGTTTTGACCACAACTTTAAACTATTAATACCTAAGTTAACAGTTTAACTCTAAAATTTTTTTTTTTTACTTTCATTTAACTCATTCAGTACTTTTATAATCTTCTCAGAGCATAGGAACTAAATAATACTCCCTATGTTTGGTTTTAGTTCTGGGATACAGAGTAGGCTTGAACTAGATGACCTGGGTGGTCTGGGATGTTGGTCCACTGACAACAAATCTGTTTTTATTGAGGTGCTGAACCATTCAGTGATTTATAAACTAACAGAAGTCTATTCTCTGAGCTACAGGTAGCCAGTGGAAGAACTTAAAAACCAGGCTGATGTGCTCTACTATCTTAGTTCTAGTGAGAACACAGGCAGCAGAGTTTTGAATCAGCTGCAGCTGTCTGATGGACTTTTAGGTAAACATACAGTATGGAGACACTGTTGCAGTAATCAGTTCACCAAAGATAAATGTATAATGAGTTTTTTCTAGATCCTGCTGGACATTAGTCCTTTAATTATGGAGATGTTCTTCAAGGCTAACTTAGTAGCTGGCTTAATGTGCCTCCAGTTTGCTACATATTCTTCCTACTTTTTTTTCTGCTGCTATTTTCCGCTTTAGTCCAGCTTTATCATGAACTGTGATATTAGCTACTTTAGGTTCTAATGCATTCTGTTGCTTCACTATTCTCTAGACAACTGGTTAAGCTGTTTAACATTTTTATGAACACATTCATACCAATCAGTAATGTGTGAGTCTAGTTGTACACAAACCTTGAGTAACTCTACTATACTAAGAAAATGATTCATCATCTTCCTGTTAATTAACCTACAATTAGCTGAGTAAAATGAGGGAAAAGCTATGCTTTTGTTATTTCCGTCCAGCTCTATGGCGTCAAATTTATTTCAAAAAGCGTTTTGAAATAAATGTGAAGCAATGCAGCTCCCAGTTTTCTTTCTACTCTGAGCTGTGTGCAAAAGCTTAGAGTTTACAGCTGCAACCCACCTCCACTCACTTACAAAACCATCCAAACACAGCACAATAGGGGCAGAGGACTACATGCCTGCTGACAGGGGAGGACAACCAGGCCAGTCGTCTTTGGCCACAAATATGATTTTTGCAAGGAAATTTTAGCTTTATTCTTAAATTTCATAAAATATTTTCCTATTATTACTTTCTTTCCATTATCCACAACAGTATTGGTAAATACCCCCAAGAGTCATTCCTTCTAACTAGTTATGCCGCTGACACAGTATCTCTGAATTTTATCGAACTGCTATACATAAGACTTGCTGCGCTGCAGGTGGAGACAGGAAAATATACAACCTGAATCTTCGCCTCTGTACACGGTCAGGCAGCAGCTCCATCACCTCAACATGAAGGGTACAGCTACTCTCAGCCTAAGAAACCGGCTCAAGACGCAGGAACAGCTTTAGATCGAACAGAACTTTAGATCAGTCTCCCCTGCTAAAGCCAAAGAAAGCGGTCATAGCTTGAAAGTGCTCTGATTTTCAGTCTTTGTTTCTCACAGTTTCTGTCAAGGGTATGTTCCGTATCTTTGCTAGATAAAGTTATAATTAAGACCGGACCAATGGGTACGTGATGTGATAACATGGTGCCTCAGCGGCTGCTGCTGTGGAAGTGAATAAATAGACAATCCTTCTGTACAGCCTTAACTGCTTAAGAAAGACTTGACCAGACTAATTTGTGGTAAATTTAAACATATCACACAAGTAGAAATCACAGCAGTTAAAATCTCTAAATGGGATCACATGAGACTTTAGCAGGTACAGAATGCCAAATGTGTGGCATATTTCATAAATTAAAAACTGGAAAGATCTCTATGTAAACATTTAGATATTACGTGAGATAATTGCATTAAATAAATAAATATAGATTGTATGCTTAATAAATAAATAATACAATATTTTTTCAGTTATTTAATTAACTATTAAATATTGTAAATAACCTTGTTCAAAGTTTGATCAATCAGGACTTGATCAATCTTGGGGGCCCGACTCGTTATTTCTGTCCAGGGCAAAGGACAAGGCTGTAAGCTGCCCTGGAGGTGGATTAGTGAATTTTTTACTCAACCATAAGCGTAAGCTGTGATATGACAGATCAAATTTTTTTCTGACCAGTGCATGCCCATCCAAAGCCTGCTAGAAGAGGACACAAAATAACATCTACTGATAAAAAGTTGCATGCATATGTAAAAGAGAGTGGGTCCTGTCAATGTGCTTCCGACTGATATCCCCTTGGCTTCCTGGGGAAGGTGAAATCCCTTAGGGTCTCCCATCTGGGCCCTCTGATGTGTACCTTGCCACACATACAATATGCAAAATTATATGAGGTTTAGAAATGAACATTTTAAAATATAGCCAATTCTCAGCATGCAGCAGGTGCACAAGGTATATCGTTTTTATTTTATTTTCACACACAATTTGTTTTGTACATGTTATAGTTAAATAATATAAGTAATAAATATGATCTTACTCTCTAATGCAGAAATGAGATTCTCATTTGCCCCTTGTGAAATATCAACAGCATAAAGTGTCCAATGAAGAGACTTTACTTTCTTCAACTACTGTAGATTGGTTTATCTGCTCTATCTAAGAGCAGTATACATTAATTCAGCTCAATAAAAATAGCAAGAAAATTACTTATAGAGAAGGTTGAGGAAGAGTATATCACAATTAATTTACATACAATGTGACGTTTTTATTCTGTTTTTAGCTCTAGTTTTAAAAATGTGGAGGAGACAACACAATTGCTTTACCCAAGGTACAGTACTACTAATTAACTACAAAAGAAAAATCAATTTTTAATTTTTTTAATACTTGCACACAAAAAGGTATATGCCATAGAATAAAAATATGCCAAAACCTACTGTTAGATATTATTTTTCTAGGCGTATTTAAGTAGCCTTAAAAAATACAATCATACTTTTTGGATTTTGTGGAACAATTATGGAAAGTTTGTTGAAAAATTGTTATTTTCAGTTTTTTGTTCACTCCTATAAAGAATTTAGTAAAAGTTTATATATATAAACAGAAAATGAAGAACAAATGTTATTATTATTGACAGTTTAGTTGACTATGCATAGCATTTCACATAGAGAATTTCATTGAGAGTTAAGATACTTTTGAACATGCTGTTTATGGAATGTTTACAATTTCAAAAATGTGCACCAACAATCTCTTTAATGTCTTCATAAAGTCTCGATACCGTGGATGAGGGCAGTGGTGGAGAGAAATATTATGGAATAAGGTAAAAGGGATTTTTGAAGATATTCTAAATATACTGAGAAAGAATGAACAGAATGTAAAGAAAAATTAAACCTGCCAAAATACATACCATAATCATTTAATTCCATAATAAAAATTTTTAACTTGAGGAAGTTGTTGTTCATTGAATGCTTTTAAGCAATTTAAAAGCTTTTTTTCCTTTCTTCCAAAGATCATCTGTGGAATCAGATGAAGACAAGGGATCATCTCTCCAAGGGTAGAGCGCATACACTGGATACACTTTTTACCTCAGTGATTAAGAATCTTGAATAGTGATAGATGTTATCACATGTTCTCACAAAACACATGTAGACTAGGTGTGGATTTTTACTGTATTTACATTGATTATTTAAAATCTGTATTTAGTTCACATAATCTAACATTCCAGACCATTTTTAAGTGAAAACTTTGATATCAGCATCAATGCCTGATTTATGAATATGCATTTATAAATTGTCATCGAAATCTACTAAATAAAAACGAGGCAACAGAAAACAGAACATTGTTGTGGCATTATAGCAGGATTCCTTTTGATGTTAAAAATGTAGAATTGGCTCTAATCAACAGAATCAGGTTGGTAAAGACCAGGAATCTTTTTTTTTTTTTTTCCGAACTATATATTTAGAAAATTAGTGCAACATAAAAATCTGAAAACCATCAATCCATCCACTTTTTGTTACTCTTATCCCAAGGGTGCTGGTGTATTGTTGTATTACTTCAGTCTACCTCAGCTCTTATCTGTACCTTTGCTGGGCTTCTAGGCTCCAAATAACTTTAGTGAAGAATTCAGCAAATTAATCTGGGCAGTCCATTTCTTTTTATTCACATTTGTAGGGAATTTGCAGTCTGTACTTTCTTTACATGTTTAATAAAATCCTAAAGTGCTTTTTATACAGAGCTGGCCCTGAAAAGGAAGAAGACAATCTAAACTCACTCAACCAAAGGTATACTTGGATTTCTTTGAGTACCCCAAAGATCAATCTTAAATTAAATCCTACAAAGCATATCGGATTTCTTATGGTTTCCTTTTGTACTCTTTGAGGAATCAGCATTACGTAGCTAAATTAAATATAGAATTAAAGTTTACATTCTACATACTGTAAAAGCTAAAAAATAAGAATAGTGGAAGATTTTACATAATTTTTGGCAATGGACAACTACACCCCTGACAATAACAAATTATTATGGCTTTTTAAACATGAAAAGCTAAATATTGCAGTTTTTAGACAATTAGGGAAGGTCTTGTCTAGATTAGTATGACCAAAATTCCATTTTGCATGATTTAGCTGAACAAACGAGAGCGGTATATTTATGTAATGAGTTGGTCTGTTGGACTTAAATCATGCTAACTTTGTTGTTGTTATGTTGTCAAACAGTGTGATTAGAAAACATGAGGATCATGACAAAAGGTGAGCTGTTTTATTTTTTAATGCTTAAATAACATAAGAGATAAAGAACGTGGTTGAATTACTGTACAAGCTTAGCTATATAAAAACTTTGCATATGACCATCTTATAGTTGTAGATTTTTTGCTCATCCACTTTTACACCAGAAAGGTATCACCCTTTATCAGGAGTTTTTTAAATGTCCCATGTTTATCAACCAATATCTGCCACTTTAAGCCTTGTAATTAGGATATGCAGAAAAGATCAACTAAAATCAGCACCATTCGTCTCCTCTATAACTTTAATATGGTGTCCAACCAAAACCAAAAAAGCATTGTCAAAGTATATGCATTTTTAATGTTTATTAACATACCCTTATGGTTGGCTCTGGATCCCGTGTTTAGGATTTGCTTTTCAATGGCAGGAATATTCTTTGGATTTTTTGACACAATTGTGAAAGCTTGTTGAATGATTTCATTTTTTTTTTGTTCATGGCTATAAAGAATACAGTTAAAGTTAATAAATAGAAAATTAGGTAAAGGAATGTTTTCAATATTTAATATTACTTTAGTTACTATGAAGAACATTTCACATAGAGAATTAATTGAAACTTATCGGGAAAATAATTATTTTATTAACAAGAAATTAGATCAACGCTCTTCATTCAAGCAGCAAATATTAATCCTTGCAACAGAGACCAGATACCATCTCTGCCTATTTTCTGTCTGCTCTGGTCACACAGGATTCATTAACTACTGAAGAAGGGAAAATCTAATAGACAAAGAAACTTTCTACAAATAGGTTGTTGAAATAACCTTATGTCTAAATGAGTCTTGCCTCTTAACAAAACATATAAAACTGGAAAACAGCTTCTGAGCCACCAGCAAGATAAGACTCTCATCTAGCCTGGCCTAACCGATGACTTTCTTGAGGGAATACTTTGTGCAATAAACAATTCAAATAAGCTCACAATCGCAGTAATTAACTAGAGGCCTAACAGGAATAATTTAAAATATTTTTTTCCCCATCACAGATAAAGTCATTTTCCAGGACTTTTTGTTTGGTATATGTTTAATTGTAACAAATGTGCACCAAACACCTGTATAATGTATTCAGAAACTAAATAATGAGGAGAAAGCCAAAGTTGGACAGACATATTATCCATTAAGATAAAAACATAATAATATGGGGTTTATTCTAAATGTCCCAAAAAATAACGTACAGAATGTAACGAAAAACAACCTCTGAACAACACAAATATACAATAATCCTGTGAATCACTTATTTAGGTTCTCCTAATTGAGGAAGTTGTTTATTGAATGCTTTTGAGCAATTTAAAATGTTTCTTCCTTTCTTCCACAGATCATCTGTGAAATCTGATGAAGAGAAGGGATCATCTCTCCTAAGGTAGAGCACATACAAAGTATACTCTTTTTACCTCATTAAGAATCTTGAATAGTGACAGATGTTATCTGTACCTTTGCTGGGCTTCTAGGCTCCAAATAACTTTAGTGAAGAATTCAGCAAATTAATCTGGGCAGTCCATTTGCTTTTATTTACATTTGTAGGGAATTTGCAGTCTGTACTTTCTTTACATGTTTTAATAAAATCCTAATGTGCTTTTCATACAGAGCTGGCCCTGAAAAGGAAGAAGACAATCTAAACCCACTCAACCAAAGGTATACTTGGATTTCTTTGAGTACCCCAAAGATCAATCTTAAATTAAATCCTTCAAAGCATATCGGATTTTCTATGGTTTCCTTTTGTACTCTTTTTGATAAATCAGTATTACATAGCTTAATGAAATATAGAATTAAAGTTTACATACTACATAAAAGCTAAAAAATAGTGGAAGATTTTAAATTTTTGGAAATGGACAAGTGCACCCCTGACAAATTATGGCTTTATGAAAAATTATGAAAAGCTAAATATTGCAGCCATTTAGAAAAGGTCTTGTCTAGGTAGGTATGAGCAAAATTCCATTTTGCATGATTTAGCTGAACAAACGAGAGCGGTATATTTATGTAACGAGCTGGTCTCTTGGACTTAAATTATGATAGCTTTCTTGTTACGTTCTCAAACAGTGTGATTAGAAAACATGACGATCATGACAAAAGGTGAGCCGTTTTGTTTTTAATGCTTAAATCACATAAGAGATAAAGAACCTGCTGGAATTACTGTACAAGCTTAACCAAATAAAAACTTTGTATACGTCCATCTTATGGTTGTTGATTGTTTGCTCATCCACTTTTACACCAGAAAGGTAAACCCTACATCACCCTTTATCAGGAGTTTATCCCATGTTTATCAACCATTATCTGCCACGTTAAGCCTTGTAATTAGGACATGCAGAAAAGATAATCTCAAATCAGCACCATTTGTCTCCTCTATAACTTTAATATGGTGTCCAACCAAAAAACCACTATCAAAGTACATGTATTCTTAATGTTCATTAAGATATCTTTATTGTGTGCTCTAGATCCCGTGTTAAGGATTTGCTTTTCAATGGCAGGAATATTCTTTAGATTTTTTGACACAATTGTGAAAAGCTTGTTGAAGGATTTCATTTTTTTGTTCATAGCTATAAAGAATACGGTTAATGAAAGTTAATGAAAAGAAAATGAGATGAAGGAAGGCTTTCTCTAATGTGCTCAAAACCTTGGACCAAATATTCAAAAACAGACAGCTCTGGATAGTTCAAAACTAGCCTTTATTGAACACTCCCAGTATGGCTGCTCGTCAGCTGGGACAGATAAACCGGATCCTGTTTCTGAGTGGAGCTGAAGCCAGCCGAGGGGCACAGAGTCCTGAAGGAAATGTCCAAAGCCAAAGTCGTAGCAGAACCAAGTTCACAGACCAGAAAATCAGAGAGCCGATGAGGTACAGAAGGGGAATCCAAGCCGATGTCAGAAAAACAGTCCAAGTTTGGTGAGCCAGCCAAATCCAGGAATCAGTCCAGAACAGGGCAGATTAAAGAGCAGACAAGGGCAAAGCAAAACTCGGGTTCCACAGGACAGAAACAGGTCACAATCAGGTAATCAGAACAACAAACAGAATACTAGAGTTACTGACACAAAACAGCTTGAATATTCTGGCACTGGTAGCTGGAAAACACACAGCATATATAGGAGCTGCAAACAGGTGGATCAGATAAGCAGTAATGAGAAACCGGGCAGAGTTAAACAGGTGAGTGGATTGAGCAATCAGGCCAGGATCATGACAGTTCAATATTAAATATTACTTTACATTACAATGAAGAACATTTCACATAGATAGTTCATTGAAACCTATTGGAAAAATAATTATTTTATTAACAAGAAATTATATCAATGCTCTTCATTCCAGCAACAGAGACCAGATACCATCTCTGCCTATTTTCTGCCTGCTCTGGTGACACAGGATTCATTAACTACTTAAGAAGTGAAATTCTAATAGACAAAGTGTCATGTTGGGGTCTAAGCGTCTAACCCACATGCAGAAACACTCTTTCAGACAGGGGAAAAGTTAAATGGTTTATTTACAAAGTTTACAGAAATGTGCACAGGATCTTGGCTCGTCAGACTGGTCACGGGAGGGAAGCCACTAGAGGAGGACAGAGTGGATCCAGGAAACTTGCAGTTCAATGGTGACTTGGATTATTACCTGCTCAGAGGGTTATCTGATCAGCAGGGGGGGAACCTTGTGGGTCCAGAGGCTGGTCGGGAGGCTGAGGGCGGAGGACAGACAGCCAGGTTCCAGGAAGCCTTTTTTTTCCCTCCAGGATCTGGCAGGTAACCAGATAAGTCAGGATCTGAGAGGCAGAAGAACACAGGGTCAGACTGTTCACAAAAATCTGATTACAGGTCAGAGAGGCTGGCTCAGGTTTTGCTGTACCATTACTGGCAAACATTCTGGCAGGGAAGTGTCAGCCTCCTCCTCCTTAAGTAGGCCTCATAATCAGCAGACAGGAAACAAGTGTGTAGAAGTCAGCTCATGCCCTCAGGAGGAAGATCTCAGGCGCCCTCTGGTGGAGAAAGTTAGACAGCCTCCAGATCCCAACACAAAGAAACTTTCTACAAATAGGTTAATAACCTTACATCTAAATGAGTCTTTTCTCTTAACAAAACATATAAAACTGGAAAACGGCTTCTGAGCCATCATCAAGATAAGACTCTCATCTAGCCTTGTCTAACAGGATATTTTCTTGAGCAAATACTTTGTGCAATAAAGAATTCAAAATAAGCTCACAATCACAGTAATTAACTAGAGGCCTAACAGGAATAGTTTAAAATATTTTTTTCCCCATCACAGGTAAAGTCATTTTCTAGGACTTTCTTTTTGGAATATGTTTAATTGCAACCAATGTGCACCAACCACCTCTATAATGTATTCAGAAACTTAATAATGAGGAGGAAGCCAAAGTGTGACGGACATATTATCCATTACGATAAAAAACATAATAATTTGGGGTTTATTCTAAATGTACCAAAAATTAATGTACAGAATGTAAAGAAAAACAACCTGTGAGAAACTCACAAATATACATACAATAATCCTGTAAATCCCTGATTTAGATTCTTTTACTTGAGGAAGGTGTTTTGCATTGACTGTTTTTAAGCAATTTAAAATTTTGATATCTTTTTCACGATTTGTCCTTTCTTCCACAGATCATCTGGGAAATCTGATGAAGAGAAGGGATCATATCTCCAATGGTAGAGTACATACACTGTATAAACTTTTTACCCCATTGATTAAGAATTTTGGATAGTGATAGATGGTATATTTTGAGAAAACACAAGACCAGATGTGGATTTTTACTGTGTTTATACATTGTTCATTTAATAGCCATATTCATTCTCCACATAGATATTTTTTGCAATGAACAACTACACCACTAAGAATAGCAAATAATTATGGCTTTTCAGACATAAACAGGTAATTTTGCACCTGTTTACGGAGTTGTAAAACATCTTGCCTGAATTGCAATGAACAAGAATCAATTTAGGGCAGCTAAATTGAATGATTTAGCAGCCCTATAAAGAGTTACTTGTGTAATGAACCTGTCTGAAAGAAATTGATCAGGCTACCTTTCTTGTGATGTTGTCATACAGTGGGATTATCAGACATGGCCAACATTATGGCAAAAGGTAAGCTGCACTGATTTTAATGCTTAAATCACATGTAAGAGATTAATAGACCTCGCAAAATTGCTGTACAAACTTAGCAAACCAAACCTTGTTGAGTGTTTTCTTATTGAAAGTTGTACAAAGTAACAAAATTCAAATATCTTTCTTGAAGTGACGTTTTGAAGTTTGGCAAGGTAAGTTTGAGAGACTTTAAGGCTGAAAATGACCAAAAAGAGCATTTGGTCTGCCCCACAAACAGAGGGTTGTTGGTTCAAGTCCGGGCTCTGGCTTTCAGTCTCATTGGGTCATGTTGTGGCAGGACAATTCACCTGCATTGGCTACTGATGGTGGTCAGAGGGCCCAGTGGCGCCACTGTATGGTAGCCTCACTTCTGTCAGTGAGCCCCAGGGCAGCTGTTTGTAGTGAGTGTGTGCTTGAATGACTGAATGTAGAACAAAGCCCTTTTAGGATTTGCCCATTGGGAATGAATTAGCCCTTTACACCGGAAGTTTACACCGGAAGTTGTGCCACCGGAAGGTGGCATCTTGGGGTTTGCGATGTCTTGGCTATTGCATGGGATGTAAACATTCCGGTTTCCCGCATGGGCCCTGCGAAGAATCCAGTCTTGGAGGATTTTGAGGAGATAACGAAAGTGTTTGATTTCCTTTTTTGAGAAATCTATGCCATTCATCATGAGTAAAAGTTATTTCTGGACCTGATTGAAGAGGTGAAGATTAGGGTTAGGGTTGGATTTTACATTTTTTTTTACCTTTTACTTACTTTTTTGAGCAATTTAAAACTGTGAGGTCTTTTTCAGTTTTTCTTTTCTTCAACAGCTCATCTGTGAAATCTCATGAAGACATGGTATCATCTCTCCAAAGGTAGAGCACATACAAGGCACACACTTTTTACCTCATGGATTAAGAATCGTGGATAGAGATAGATGGTTTCACATTTTTCAGAAAACACAAGTAGATCAGGTATGGATGTTTTCTATGTTAATAAATTATTTATTTAATAGCAGTATTTAGTTCAACACCTAGATATTTCAGGAAATAAACAACTACACCACTGAGAATATTTATATTTACTCCTTTAAAAGTAGTATTTAGTTTACACAATCTAACATTAAAGACCAATTTAAATATTTCAGCACCAATCTCATAGGCAAAGATATTTATTTATAATTACAGTTTTATTGAAATCCAACAATGTCGGCAACAAGACATTGAAATGTTTTGTGCTTGTCATTACTTGCATATTTATAGTAGAATTCCCAGGAATGGTAAATGGTAAATGGCATGTACTTATATAGCGCCTTTATTCAAGTCAGGAGACTTGACCAAAGCGCTTTACACTACATTCATTCACCCATTCACACACACACTCACACACTGATGGTGGCAAGCAATGTAGCCATAGCTGCCCTGGGGCTCACTGACAGAAGCGGGGCTGCCGTACACTGGCGCCATCGGGCCCTCTGACCACCATCAGTAGACAATGCAGGTGTCTTGCCCGAGAACACAACAACACTGAAAATCGGAGTCGGGGCTTGAACCATCAATCCTTCGATTTAAGGGCAAACTCCTACATCCAACGTCACTGTCGCATTTTTCTTTCCCTCTA